CACTAATTATAATTAATAAAACCATATATTTATTATATTTAAATTAGTTAAAATATAGTTTGTAAGTCAACTATAATTCAGTTACTTAACAGGGTATATGGTTAACTAACTATAAGATATTTTGGTTACTTCTCAATTGTAACACTATTTTAATTCAGAATATTTTGGACTAACTCTTATTTTATATAAATTATAATTAAATTGTATTAATAATATTGTTGTATTTTTATAATTTAGAAATTGAAAACAAATACAAAAACAAAGAAATAACTTTGTAATAAAGTGATTGAATAAAAGTAAAGTATATTATATATAATTTTATATATATTTAATATATAAATGAATATATAAATACTATATAATATATAAGTGTTATATATATACTATATAATCTATCTATTATAAAATATCCACCTCTTCGAACGAAACCATGATCAATAATAAAAATATAATATTATTTAAAAAAAATACATTGTATGGTTCTTGATGATTTGGTCTGCTGATATTCTCCTTTTGTAATTAAATTCAAGTAATTCGTTCAACAAGCTGACCAACCCACTTGTTTTGTGTTTCGCAAAACCTTTTGTAGTAATCTCCTCAAAATCAATTTTCTGTCTTCCCGCGATTTTAAAAGCGAGTCTTCTTTCTATTTTTACCTTCTCTTTCCTTTGAAAGTCGACAATTACAGGCGTTCCTAAAACCTTCACAATTTCTATTAAAATGTCTTCCTCGCACGAGCCTGTAAACAGGGGTTTGGGTCGAATTATCATTTGTGCTAAAACGCATCCTGCTGCCCAGACATCGATTGCTGGTGTATACTCACTTATGCCCAATAATATCTCTGGAGGTTTATAATAAAGCGACCCAACACGAGTCGTGTACTTCAACCCAACAACATAGAAATCGGCTAGTCCAAAATCTATTAACTTAATGGTTCTTTTATTATTATTGAATAGTATATTTGTGGGTTTGATGTCTCGATGCATTATCTGTTTACTGTGTAAATAGGCGATGGCGTTCATGAGTTGAAAAATGTAGTTTGAGACGAGTTGAGGAGTCAAGCTCTTAACTACTTCATCGAAAGGTGTTGAGTTGCAGAATTCGAGAATTAATGCGTTGTATGGTGTTTGCACAACATCGAGAAGTTTCACGACATTCCGGTGCTCCGCCTGCTTAAGAAAGAAACATTCTCTTTTGACCAACTCTACGTCCAGTAATGTGTACACCTTTATCACACATTTATAGTTCTGTTTAATTGCGCCAAGAAACACGATACCGTACGTTCCTCTTCCTATTTCTCTTACTATAGAATAGTCGGCGGGGGGATTTGGAGTAAGTTTATATTTTTCACTCTCCCACGCGCTTTGACTCATTGAAAATAAATAGATAAAAAATTTAGCAAGAATTTAAAATGCAATACAACATAATAAATTGTATATGATATAAATAACACCGATGAAAATACATCAATTATACAAAACAGGCTATGCATAGAATGAAGTCAGTTGGTTTTAACAGAACAGTCTCTGGAAAAACTTGTTATGAGCAATGTTGTTGTGGCACCTTGACGACGGTGTTTCAAGAACAACACACTCGTGTGAGTCTGTGATCACTTCGTTAAAAGGGACATGTGTTAATATCGAACGAATTTCGTTGTCTTCGAAATCGTCGTTGTATTCAACAGAGAGGAATGTCGGTGAGACGATTTCTGGAGTCGATCTAGTCGATCTAGTATAGACTTGTTGTTCGCAGAATTGCATTTGAAGTCGTAGTTCTTTTTTTTCTTTATATATAAGTTAGTGTTTTTCATAACAACATTTTCATTGCTATTTTCAAATACCTGATAATTTTTTCATATGTTTACTCATTTGTTGTGTAAATAACGGGTTATACTCGATCTTTTTTCTGATGTATTTTGGGGGTTCTTATCCTTTATCGTATTTATATAAAGGGG